AGGAGGGTCCATCAAGGTGCCAGAAACTGAAGTTCGTCTGTTCAGTGTAGAGAACTTCTGGCAGCCTCATGAGAGGGATCTTCCTTACTGACAGCTTAGTGACCATATTTTGGTGAGGGATGGGGGTGGAATAGGAGAGATTCCTGTATTAAGAAGGTTGATATGTAGATAACCTTTTGGGTCTCTTCCATTATAAAAGTATATAGTTTTAGCTGAATTAATCATTTTTTGTTTCTCTGAGGAATTTACTATTTTCAACCATACTAATATTATTGAATGACATTTAAATCTGGTTCCCTTAAGAATGGAAGTTGTGAATGTATGTCAGTTGTTAGAAAACATTGAATCTGCACTAGAAGTCATCTAATCCACGCTGTGATTTTGAAAGCACGTTCTTAATCTGAAATTGTTGAACCAAAGTAGATTGGTGCTATAGCCCTTGCTCCAGTGTAAACAGAAATGGAATATTTGTATATGGTTGGTATTCTTTGAGAGAGATTGCACTTTTCAAGTAGAAATCAGGATTTTAAGCTGTTCTGTCAAGGATTTATAGTAAAGCCCCTTTTCTTCTCCACTTGAATAGCTTTGTCTCATCCTGTAAGATCCAACGTGGTCATCTTCAGTGTTCTTCCCACTGCGACTGCCGGTCAACAGTGTCATATGAGACAGACTGCTTTAAAAACCTGTTTCTGCCTGTACCACTCTCATTCTTTTGGCTTTGAGGAGGATATTTGAGAGAAATGCAGAACTTAGATGGCTTAATAAAAAGTATGTTTGAACAATAGAGCAATCAGCTTTCCGTTGATAAGGCTAAGAACCCCCTTCAGGTCAGCTCTGGAATAAAAAGTTTTATCCTTTACAGAAATAACTTTCCACTAAAGAGCAGTTTGTATAGCACCATCTCTAGACTCAAAGGCAAATAAATGGAGGAACTCACACATTTATATGTATTGTACTATGGGCTTGTTCATGTGCATATTGTTCATTTTCATTGGGCTGGGGGATGTCAAATACGGAAACGG